AAAAAAAAAAAAAACACTGCCCACCCCCCCACCAGGAGCCATTCAAACAGCAACAGCGCGGCTCATTGGCCGGTTGAGTAACAAACAAATGGATGAAATGAGAAAACAAACGTAGCTACCAGTTCTGTGAATTTACATCTAAAAACAGTCCGTGTGAGAGTCCACCGGTCCGGCATCAGCACGGCACACGGTCCGCCGTGCTGACACGGTCTGCTGCTGCGGAGAACTGCAGCCTCTTGACGGCCTCTTTGATCAGGTTCCCCGAGAGAATCAGCTCCTGCAGCAGCCGGTGCGGATCGTCGTCGTCCTCCTCGGCGGTTCTCCTCTTCTTGTTGTTCCACGGTTTGATTTGGTGGTCCCATTCCTGGATGCTGTACGGGTTCGCCCGGTGGTTCCGGTTCCGGAGCCGCATACAGCAGCCGTGGCGTCCCGTGTCGCCGCCGCTTCCGCCGCTGATTATGGCCGCCGGTTTGACGCCGCCGACGGTGGTCGTGGTGGTGGTGCCGCCGTGCAGACAGGACACGGACACGGACACCGTCTTCTTCTGGTGCCCGCCGCCGCTGTGGTTGTGGAGCTGCAGCGCTTCACCGATTTTCGTCACCAGCGCGTCCACTTCTTTGGAGTCGACGGTGACGGACTGTTGCAGAAAGATGTAGTTCTCCTTCCGACACGGCATGCTGGCGGGTGTGTCGTGTCCGCGGGGTTCGGTGTGAGTTGGTTCGGGGTGTTTTGTTGTCGGTATGACTGCGAGCCGCTCCTCGCTCTCACCACGCCGCTCGGCTCTAACCAATAACCAGGGTTTGATTTGTAAACAATGGATGACGCGCTTTTGGACCGTACCATGTTCCCTCGCAAGGGGGAGGGGCGTTTTATTTATTTTAAACCAAAATAAACTACAAGGTTAAACGTGATCCACGCGATGAATCCTCGAGTTAAAATGTCATCAATTTAAAATATCAGCGAAAACGTCAAACTATAAAAAATCAACTATAACGCTCGTTTGCGCTATTTTCTTTGTATCGGTGATCCGGTTTCCCGCCTCGAACCCGACCACGCGGCTTCGTTGGTCCGCTCCGTTCAAATGCACATTACATAACTCATAACTGTCTGCTGCTGTCTGTCCAAAACAAACAAAGCACGGTTTATTCCACGAGTCCCAATTCACCTTGGGTCTGCACACCACCCCTCGTGGTCTTATTTAAATGTCCAAACGTGCACGAGCACGAGCTGAATTCATAATACGTGTTGATAATCATCATCACAATGACATCAAACACAGTGACGACAAGCAGGAGTTACAGCCATATTACCGCGTAAAATATACTTTATCACATATTATGATGGTATTAATCACATGGTAACAAGCTGTCGAATATATGTATACACGCTCACACGTTTGACTGATACCAGTGACAATGGAATCTGTAGCTATTTATACCAT